CATCAGAGACATGGACATTGAAAGAAGCTGATAGAAAAAAACTATTGGCATTCGAAATGAAATGCTATCGAAGGATATTAAGAATCAGCTGGAAAGATATGATAAGAAACACAGACATAAGAAAACAGATAGCAAGAAAAGAGACCATTATAGATAACATCAAAAGAAGGAAGCTGCGATTGTTTGGCCATATCTGTCGAATGAACGATAACAGGTTGATAAAACACACTGTATTCGCAAGAATAAACGGAAAACCTCGAAGAGGACGTCCATGTAGAGAATGGATGGACGATATAATCGAATGGTGTGGATACAGCGGACAAGACCTGTCCCACCTTGCGCAAGACCGAACGAAATGGAAAGAAATTATCCGAATAGCGGTTGGCCCCAACGGGCGATAAGCCTATGGGACATCATGAATCATGAATTGATTAGTATAGCAGATAGCAGTGTAGAAAAATTCAAGTAATTTCGTTTGCATTGGTAATTCACTGACCAATGCATTTTATTTTAATGAATCAAGAAAAGGTCTTAATAGTAAATAAAATATATCCTAAACATGGATTCACCTATAGTCGTTGGAGATACTTTATTAAAGAGTGAGAAAGTTGAGATTTCATTTGCTACCTCGAATAGAGGTAATCCATTAATTCAATGTGAACATGTTCGTTTTGAATATAATTATATCGATATAACTTGATGCTGGAGCATCATTCATCATATTCACATATTCGAGATAGACGTCTTTTTCTCTATTCTCTCATCTTTTTCTTTTGTAATTTTCACAGACATATACGTATACGTACACGGGTCACATGTTAAGGATAGGTGCATTTTTTTAAATCTTAAATGCATATTAATTGCAATTAACGAACGGGATAAATATAAACACTCAAATAAAAATGATTACAGACATAGATAAAAGTCACCAATTAAATCAGAATTTGAGAAATGCAACAAACAAAGGAAACTCACAGTGGCAAATGCACTTTTATAACAATAATCGTATGTCTCAAAATAATACACAAGGCTCACCATCAACATTCAAAAGGCATCTAACTAATTATAGTACACTTGGGGATGATGCTAGATACTTAAACAATAAAAGATAACGACAAAATTTACGATAATGACGAACGTATCGACGAATGGACCGATCCTATTATTCACAATTGCATTAGTTTTAGTGATAATCAAGGTGACAATGATAATAATCAAACGCGTATTTCCAACCAAGCTGTCAACTATGACACAGATTGTCATTTTCCACCGCTCAAAATCATATGCACACCTAAAATGCAAAATCAAAATGGAGCTTATTTCGTCCAAACACTAATAAAACATATCAAAAAGAAATTTAAGAATGAAAACCCCACACGCAAGAAACTATTAGCTTTCGATGCATGATGGGTAAATGCAGAAGGTGATATGATGGTTCTAACAAAATGTATGGAAATATTCATTCATTTATGTATACTACTGAATTATGCACAGGAAATTAATAATATAACAATTGAATCCCAACTTCCAAAATGTTTACCACCACCTTTCTCCGTATTGATTAAATTTGTTCACAACCATATCTCAATTGATGAAATTCGACAAGAAGTAAAAGGTAAATATTTTTCTCAATATTCATGCAATGAACTAATTGGAACTAAAACACATCGAACGAGACATGTTAGAATTGACTTTACGGAACGCAATGACTATAACACTATACTCAAAAATGGACAAATATCATTTTGCAGTCAACTTTATACAGTGAGTGAATTTCTCGAAGCTCCGAAATTGTTGGTCTGCTCGAAATGTAACTCTCCTGGACACATGAAAAAGCAATGCCGGAGTAAGTATGATCGTTGTCGTCGTTGTGGAGACGACAGGATAATCGGCGATCATGTTGAGTGCTCAATAAAATGTCATCATTGCAGCGGTGAACATTTATCTACGGATTATAAATGCCCAATTCTAGCTGATTACCGATTTCAACTTGTGAAAGAACTAAAACGTCATCATAAACGTCTACCTGAAGATGTACAGCTATTTATACCAGCACAATGTCGAGATAGGAATGGCCGTCCTCATGTTATTACAAATTATCAAAAAAATGAACAAAAAAGTAGAGCAACATATAATTCAACATTTAACATGAATACTCATTCTTGACCTCAACTTAATTCTAATTCACACACAGTTAGAAATGAAACTTTATTTGCGCAAAAAACTTGACGAGGAAATTAAATTGATACGAGAAGATTTCAAAAAAGAATTAAACAAACTGAACGCAAAATATGAAAATCAAACAAATATTTTTCGAGATCGATGGCATCTAATTGCTCAACAAATTAAAACACAAAATGAAATGATTAATAACATATCGGCTACAACTCTATCATGTATTATGCCAATGGGAATAGATCTACTTAGAACTACATCGGAAGCTTTCCAATCACTTCGCAACAAGGAACAAAACGAAGAGACGAAAAACAAACTTAATGATTCTGCTGAATAATTACGATTACAGATGAATAAATTTTCTGAACACCTTCATATATTACAACAGTACCAAGAGAAGATTTCTTTATTAATGGATAAACAAACAACATCTTTAATTGAAGCAATTAACACATTAATTACAGTTTACAATGGTACAAAATTCGGATGGACAGACGAGCACTGCTTTTGATACTTGATGGGCATTATTCGCATTTATCAATAAAAACTGTACGTTTGGCCATCCAGAATGGTATACATTTATTGTGTTCACCAAGCGCCATCCGACGCACATATTGCAATTTTTGCATGTGTACACATTGAAATATGTGAAACAGCGATGGAAAAATTGCTTTTAGCGTATTACTCTACAACTTTTGCTAAAGTTGGAATATTTCCATATGGCCCACGAGCAATTAAAAATGATAGAATAATCAAAAATACTTTATCAACAATAGTAGAAACGCCAGAACAATTTTCACACATACTATCAAACGAATTACATACATCTTCATGCTTAAATGTACCAGCGATGGTTTCACGAAATACATTAGTTAGATAGAACTCGACTCCAAACCTCCCATGTGTTTCATTACGATGAAACTGCGGCGCAGTTACGCCGTAACTGCGATCGCACTGTGACCCGTAATTGCGGAAAATTGCGACGTAGCTACGCGCAACTACGATGAAAAAATCGCAGTTACGCGTTGTTACGGGGGAAAAATCACAGTTACGCATAACTGC